TCCAGTTCGGCTTCAAATGGGGTTCATTTTTGGGCCATTTTTGATAATTCCCGAACCGTTTAATGTGTAGAACTCGTCGAGTACTACTGCATATAAAAATCACGTTGATCGGATTATCAGATAAACTATATGATTGATCAAATCAGTTTTGTATATAAAAAATGGACGGTGAAACAATTAACCGTTGATAAAAAACTGTTTTGTTCACATAGCTATCGATATCCGATTAATGTGATTTTTTATAAGCATATAGTACTCGACGAGTTCTACATATTGAACGGTTCATATTATCAAAATAGGACCCGTGGTGGGCCCCCACGAGCCCAACAGCATAGTCCAGTCCGATCTTGAACTGGACCAAAGCCACTGCCAAAAATTATTGTCCTAAAGCTCAAATAAAGTTTGAAGTCAAAATTTTATATTTCATTAAAAACACATTTATTATTTAAGTAATATACATATTGTAATATTAATTAATTTCTTATTTATTCTTTGTTATTTAAATGGCACACATATAGCATCTACTTGTCATTAGTAATAATAATAAGTCAAGTCTTCGTTGGCACGGAAACTTGCTGGCTGCCTAGGTGGCAATTTACACAAACAATCACGTCAATTTAGGTTTTATTTGATAATATTAAAATTAAAAGTTAAAAAATTAAGTATTAAAAATTGAATATTGAATTTTTTAAATTGAAAAATTATTTGATAAAAATTTAAGTGTTGAATTAAAAATAAATTATTTGATATGTATAAAATTAAATTTAAAATTTATTACCTTTAAATTATATATTTTAATTTTTAAATTATGATAGTGGTCGTGGTAATGATGGTAGTGGTACAACGGTGGTGGTGATGGTGGTAGCGATAGTGATAGTGGCATGGTGGTGGCGGTGGTAGCAGTAGTGGTAGTGGCATGGTGGTGGTGGTAGCACTAATGATAGTAGTGGCGGTGGTGGTAGCAATAGTGATGGTAATGATAATAGAAGTAGTGGTGGCAGCATGATGGTGGTGGTGGCTGTAATAGTGGTGGTAGTAGTGGTGGTGGCATGGTGGTGGTGTAAGTGGTAGTGGTAGCGATAGCGATGATGGTGGTGGTGGTAATAGTGGCGGTGGCAGTGGCATGATGGTGGTACTACTAGTAGTGGTGGTGGTGGTAGTAGTAGTGATAGTGATGGTGAGTTTATAATAGTATATATTGATACTTATATTTAGTATTTATAAATTCAGTTACAATTAAGTATGTTTTATATGATTTAGAATTTTTTTAAATTTTAGCCTATATTTTAAGACACTTAGATTTTTAAGAGATATCAATTATGATTATCAAACAGATTTAATTGATTACCACTTAATCAATTCAGTTTTAAGTGTTGAATTATGTTATCAAACACTCCTTAATAAATATATCAAAAAAGAAGGTGCATGTCTTTAATTGAAAATTTTAACTTGGTTGTGTTGTTGGGTCATTGTAAACTTGTGACGAATTAGTTATATAAAAAATCATATTAATTAAATAAATAATCATAACCATATGGTCACTTTAATGATATGATTGATATTAGATCAATAAATAATTATTTGAACACATCACATCACAGTAGTATTAACTAAAGAAAATTATAAATAGACGATAAATATTATAAATATTAATAATTAATATTATAATTTATCATGAATTTGTAATAATTTTTTACTACCACTTAATAGTAATTTCCCCTAATTATTTTATTTTATAAATTTATTACTTTGCATGACATTACCCGTAAATGCCATTCAAATAAGAGAAATGCCAATGATCAAACAAATGACAGCCACTAATTTCCATAGACGTATAAAAAATATATAAATTTATGTGAAAATATATTTAAAAATTTTGAAAAGTATATTAAGATTTTAATTATTTTGGCATTATGATGACAATTCTATCAATTGTCATCAGCTGAATAATTATTTGATCTTTCAAAAATTTTAAAGTGATAGTGTGCTCATCCAATAACAAAGAGTTGCGTACTTACATAGCCCAAAAAAATATGAGAAAAATGACAAAATATAATTAGTTACAGTCACATGGCATTTCAAAACGCTATATAATTTTTGGTGGTTAGCATGAGCTTTGAGCTTCAAACAAAATGGTGCATCATTTCATTTTCACATAACTTTTAATGGATTTATTGATGTGATGAAGTACAATGTTTGTAATTTAATTCTATGAATGTTGGTTAGGTGATAGCAAAGGACTTGTACAGGGTTCTAAGAGAGAAATTGGGAGCAAATTGGAATTCATTTATTTCTGAAAAAGTCACTTCTGTCCCTGGTGACATTACACTTGAGAACTTGGGAGTGAAAGACTCAAACTTGGTGGAAGAGATGTGGAGAGAAGTAAACATTGTAGTTAATGTAGCTGCAACTACCAACTTTGATGACAGGTATGATCTAACAAAATTTTAGATTCATTTAATTCTATAATAACAATACACAATAAATTAATGTGTGCAAGTGTATGTGTTTATTTTGTTTTCATTGTTTCAATTATTTTTTTTTATTTTTATTTTTTTTATGTAGATATGATGTTTCATTGAGTCTCAATACAATGGGAGCCAAGCATGTTTTCAACTTTGCAAAGAAATGTGCTAAGATAATGATGCTCCTCCACGTATCTACCGGTTAGTATATAATCCCTTAATTAATTGGGAAGTTAATTAATTAATTTTTCATTAGATTTAACTTTATCAATTATTTTATCCTTTCATTGTTATAATTTTTTTATTAGTCCCGATATTGATGGATAAAATATTACATGGGGTTAATGGAAAATGTTCACTTTGTATTTGTATTGAGGCTATAAAATGAATCTTTTTATTTTAATTTTTTGAGTATATGCACTATATAACTATATAATAAATAAATAAAAAACTCAAACATGCTTTTGAATATCGTTGCAAATTGGCTTAAAAGATAAATAAATTAAACACAAATCACTACAACATATAAGAGTTTTAGAGACTAATTTTTTTGGTCTTTAAGAGTGAAAATTTTGTTACAAAGGACATTTAAGGACTAATTTTTATCATCGTTAGGATAGTCGCTAAAAGGCCTTCTTGAAAATTCAAAAATAAGGCTTTTAGCGACAAAATTTTGAAAATGTCACTAATGAATACACTTTAGGGACAAAATAATTTGGTCTCAAAATAGACAAAAAATTTGGTTCCAAAAAGATAATAATTCATCACTAATGTCTAATTTTCGTTGCTAAAAATATAATAATGACACCTTTCGCAACAAAAATCTTTGATTCCTAAAAATAATTTTATTCCTAAATTTTGATGGCTAAAATCTTAATTTTTGTAGTGAATACATTATTAAGCTCAGTAACCAGCTCAAACCCAATCAACTGCTCAACTCAAGTTACTTGTCTTACATTTGTTTCCTTAATGGAAGTTCTTTGAACATATATATAGAGACAATGATCTTGTCCTCTCTTCTTTGTTCCTTTGCAAATACAATATTTATATTTTTAGTTTTACTCTTAACCCTAGTGAATTAGGTTGTCCATGAATTAATCAGCATTTGTGTTTTCAGCTTATGTATCTGGTGAAAGGGCTGGACTCAACTTAGAGAAACCCTTTTACATGGGCGAGACAATTAATGGGACTCTTGGATTGGACATTGAAATGGAGAAGAAAATTGTGGCAGAGAGGTTGAGTGAGCTTAGGGGAAAAGAGACTACAGAAGCAGAAATTACCTTGACAATGAAGGATTTGGGTATTGAAAGGTATGAAACAATCTAAATTAATCGACTCAATTACTTGCTAAAACTTTTATTAATTTATTTAGGATCTTACTAATGATCGCTTATTTAAGAATCAAATAATTTCAAAAAAAAGTTAGAATTACAATACACATTTCACATATAATTATGCACCTTTGTATATTTTAATATATTTTCACATATTTCAATTTTAATTGGAAAGCATAAATTAAAATAATCCTCCATTTAGTATCTCAATAATCAATTTTTTTTAATTTATTTAAATTATTTTATATTAGAGATTGTAAATTTATGCTATGTCAAATATTTTGATATAATTTTTTTTTAAAAAAAAAAAATTATACACAGCCCTAATAAATTATTCTAAGTTTTTTTTAAAAATTTTATTTTATTTTTTTAGCAGAGCAAGGAAGTATGGATGGCCAAACACATATGTATTTACAAAGGCAATGGGAGAGATGCTTTTGGGAGAAATGAAAGAAAATGAAATGCCAATTGTCATCCTCCGACCCACCATCATTACTAGTACTTACAAAGAACCCTTCCCTGGCTGGATTGAAGGTTTGAGGTAAATTTTTCAACAAAACTTTCTTGGTTTTTCGTTCGGTTTTCCTAAAGATCAAGTTTCTAAAACAAATCTCAAGCCTAAGACTATGGGAACAAGAATTGAAGGCAAGAATCTAGAAAAAAAGACACAGAAAACAGAGAAGAACAATAATTCAGACTCAAGAAAACTAGAAGGGATTGAAGAACATTGAATAAAAACGTGCATAAATCGAAGACAGTGACAATTTACAAGAATATCAAGTGTATGAACAGTATGTGTGTGCATGTGTATACCTAGAAACAGATTGAACAAATAAAAATTCCCAAACAAGGCATGCTTTTGTACGCAAAATGATGGAATTCAAGACACAGACAAATATATTCAAAAACGTGAATGCATTCACAAAAGCAGTGTACAAAAGCAACAAAGTTCGAAGACAAAACTGAAAGGAGGGGAATAGTGACTCACCTAAAAAAATGAGGCCAGTATGAAGTATGCTGGAGTTAGACGGTGGTAGTGAGCGGAGAAGAACAACAAATGCTTTGCCGGAGGAGTTGAATGAAGTAGTTGCAGGAAGCTCGAAGAAAACAACAATGGAGGTAGGGGATTTTTAGAGAGATAAAAACTTGAAAAGCTTGGAAAAAATAAGGATGCAAAGGTGAAAAGACGGAGAAAGAGAGGTGTTTTTTATCAAAACACGAAAAGCTCTGTTTAAGGTTATTTCGGTAGTCAAATTAAAAACTGATAGTTAACTTGATAATTTATTAACAAAATAGGTTAGTTGTTACAAAATTAAAAACTTTTAAGGGAGGGGATGTAATTTTTAGAACTTAAGGGGATACTTGTATTAAAGATAAATCTCAAAAGGTGTGAGTGTAATTTACCTAATATAAATGGGGAAAAAAAAAAAAAAACTTGTTAAAGTATAAGACTCAAATTTTTTTCTTTTATAAATTTATTTATGTAGAAAGATCCTGGACTTATTAATTACAGTATTAGTTTAAAAAATAAAATATATTAGACAGATATATTTGGTGGCATTTGATTGGTCTGTCTTTCAACATGTAATTGCCATTCTTGCAGAACGGTTGACAGCTTAATTGTTGGTTACGGCAAAGGGAAATTGACATTCTTCCCTGGTGATCTAGAATGTATACTTGATTTGGTGAGCTAAATTTTAACTCAATTTTCTCATTTATTAAATTATTAATCAATATTCCTCTAGTGTGACATCACAAGAAAACCAACATGACAATGATATATAAGTGAACAAAACTCTCAAGACCATGTTTGTTTAAGAATTTGAAGAGGGAAAATTGGATTGTTACTTTATAGAATTGACAAAAATCATGTTTGATTTTGAAAAATGTCATGGATCTAAAAGCCTATTTGATTGGATAGATTATACCATAGATTTGAGATTATTAATTTATGAAATTTACATTCAGTTACAATTTTTGTTATTCGGATTAAATTTTCATATTCCACAAAAGAAATATTGATTTTTTTTTTTAAATTTGTATTTCTTATAATTAAATCCTACCTAATAATACAAAACAAATGTAACTTATATTTTGGATAAATCAATAATCATGTGCATGCAACCGAGGGAGTACATATTAATTATACGTAGATCATTCATTTTGTGTAACTATAATTAATTATGTACATGATTATTTATTTATTAATTAGTCCTCCCTCAATCAATATAAATAATACCATAGTGTGTCATACTACTAAATAATTACCTAGTATTAGAGCATCTCCAATGCACTAGGCATATAATACTTGTTAGTTAAAATGCCTAGTGTGATTCATTTTTTTTCAATTCCAAGGCACTAGGCATATGATTAGGCATTTTGGCTCAACTCATATTCAGAGCATCTCCAATGCACTAGGCATATCATACTTGTTAGTTAAAATGCCTAGTGTAATTCACTTTTTTCAATTCCATTTTTTTTTTTTCATCCTCCAACTGAGTTATTATTTTTCTTAATTAATATCGATAATTAAGATTCATTTAAAGCATAACCCTGCAACAATAATTTTAACTATACGCTATAGATATTAAATTCTTGATAATTTTCGAGACACTTTTTTGATATATGCAGATACCAGCTGACATGGTGGTGAATTCAATGGTGGTTGCAATGGCGGCTCATGCAAATAAGCCTAATTGTCGTGAGATGATGATATACCAAGTGGGATCTTCAGTATCAAATCCAATAAAATTAGAATATATTAAAGATTACAGCCAAAGTTACTTCAAAAAGCATCCATGGATTGGTAGGGATGGCAAGCCTATCAAAGTTGGCCAAGTTACACTCCTCACCTCCATGGCTACCTTCCACAAATACATGGCCATTCGTTATTTGCTTCCACTCAAGGTCTCCTCTCTTGTTTTTATTTTTATTTAAAAAAAAAAAAAAAAAACTACATACTAGCGATTTATATTATTTTTAAAAAAGATGACAATTTTTAATCATATCAATGTAGGGACAAAGCCAGTGTAGGATTGGGGTACATGTCCCTGAAGTTTTGATATTTATATTAGTATTCGTATACATAGCTTACATCATATATAGCTTCTATAAAATTAAAATAATATTCCTTCTTAAAATTTTAATAGTTCCTCTATTATAATTTTTTTTTTTCTAATACAAAGATACAACTAAATGGATCCTTCTATTATACACATCCAAAAGGAGTGTATCATACACAAGTTATGACTTTATGGTATTGATATTATAAATTTTCATAATCAAATTATTTTTATTCATAACTAAAATGACCACTATATAAACTATAATCAAGCAACACATCTTCAGTTATTAAAAAAAAAAAATCATTAGGTCATAACTAACATTAGAATGAGTCATAACTAATCATTACTTGATGTATAACCTAAGATTTCTTTAATCATAACTAAAATAATAACCACAAGAAGTTATAATTAAATTATATCTAATACTAAAATATGTCATAACTAAAGATCACGAAAATCATAACTGCGGCATATGATAGATATTTTTTTTTTGCGGTGTGTTTTATAAAATTTCTCTACTAAAATATATAATTTCTATCTCAACTTATCTTCTTTTTTAATTTTTCAATCCACCTAAAATAGTTCTCCCAATATTTGTTTAAAATTTAATTTCAAATCCTTTAATTTAAAATTCACATTATCTAAATGGACTCTTAATATTTAAGTTTAGTGATATCTCATTGTTGTTTATTACTCCCTCCGTCCCAAAATAATGATCCCTTTTGGGGAATCCAACTTTTTTTGGTAGTACAATTATTGTACTTTAAAAAAGTTGATTTTTCAAAATTACCCTTTGATAGTATATTTTTTTGAGAATATCAATGTCATAATTGTACTTTTTATATTATTTATGAATTTAAAAGAAGGGCAAAATAGGAAATTTATATTATTTTTGTACTTGATTTTTGAAGAGAGACTAATATTTTGGGACAATGAAAAATAGAATAAGGGACTAATATTATGGGACGGAGGGAGTATGAGAAAAAAAAAGACAAAATCAATATTGTCATTGATTTGTACCCCTCTTCACTGAATTCCTGACTCTATTGAATTCATGACACTCATCAAACTAATTAGTAAACAATATTATAACCTTGTTTGTCGCAGCTTAAATGAGCTGATTATAGTTTATCTTAATTTTGGAATCTGGGGTTGTTTTTTCACAGCTTTTATGTGGTGATTATATAGGAATGGCAACAGGGCGGGGCAGGGCGGGGCGGGGTCGGGGATCACCCTCCCCGTCCCCGATCCCCGATGGTCGAATTTTCCCCGGCCCCGATCCCCGACAGGGAACCTATCACTGCCCCATCCCCGCCCCCAACGGGGATCGGTTTTCCCCGACCCCGAGCATTAACAAAATTCAGAAAATACAAATCATCAACAACAACAACAACAACATCATCTAAAAACAGATCTGAAACAAAATTATTAATGGACGGGGAAAATACAACTCATCATCCGAAAATACAACAACATCAACAACATCATCATAAAATACAACTCATTATCTGAGACAGATCTGAAACAGATCTAAAAGCAAAAAAAAAAATAAAAAATTGTGAAACAGATCTGAAAACAAAAAAAAAAAAGATATCTGATTTGTTTATAAACTATAATTTAATTAAGAATCCTCTAGTTGTATTTTTGTCATTAAAATAGAACTCAATAATAAATCACAGATTCCATCCAGACTGTACAAAACTAAGCATTTTCCTTTACATACAAAAATAAAGTAAACTTCTTTCCTTCTTTACGTTAAAAACACCAACCAGTGTCTTTCCAAAGTCGCTATCAAACCTTCAATGCTAAAAAAAAATCAAAAAAGCTTCAATTGGTCTAATCGTTCCGTTGACTCATTCTCATATTTTGGTCAGCGACATCGAGAAGAAAGGGAGTGGATGAGAGACGCGGTGGTGGTGGTGGTGGTACGAGCTAGACGGCGGTGGTGGTCGTCGACGTTGAGAGAGAGGGAGTGGATGAGAGACGCGATGTGGTGGGGTGGTGGTGGTGCGAGCTGGACGGCGGTGGTGGTGGATCTGAGAGAGAGAGAGAAGTCAGTGAGGTAGAGAGAGTTGAGAGACGGAGACGGGGTAGAGAAGAGAGAAATGAAATGAGATCTGAGACCTGGTTTATATATATAAGGGTAAAATTGTAATTTAACATCGGGGATAAACCGGGCCGGGGATCGGGAACGGGGACGAGGCTGGGCCGGGTACGGGGCTGGGACACTTATCCCCGTCCCCAGCCCGAATCTGTTGAGGGATTGATTTTTAAATACCATCCCCGTCCCGTCGGGGGTATTTTTAGGAAAAAACCCGCTCAATTCGGGGTCGGGGGATCGGGTCCCCATCGGGCCGGTTTCAAATTGCCATCCCTATGATTATAGCTTATTTTGATTTGGGAGTCTATACCAGACTATTTGGTGCAGTTTCTGTTTATAACTTATTAAGCAGAAATAACTTAAATAAGCTCAAAAAATCTGATTATTTGGAAGCTAGGATAAGGGTACTTTTAGCTTCTACTTTTTGATTATCAACCTTTAACTTAAAAAAAGCTCTACCAAACAGGGCCACTATGTCAAACTATTTGGTACATGTTGTGCTCACAACTTATTAAATAAAAATAACTTAAATAAGTTTAAAAAAAATTGATTATTTGAAAGTTAGAGAAGTTGTGCTTTTAACTTATGATTTTTTATTATAATTTTTTAACTTATAATAAGTTGCATTAAACAAGGCTTACACCCTCTTTGATTGAGATTTTAAAATTTATTTTCTGTCTTTTTTTTTTTATAATTTAAAACTACTTTGTAAAAAATTAAAAAAATATTTTTGATTCTCTTTAGAATTTCTTTTAATTTTAAAATATTTTTTTTAATATTTATTTTCGTTGAACTAACTTCTATTTTTTAAAAATAAATTATGAAAGCTTAACTCAAGATTTTTTGATTGACATGAACACTAATCTTGACCCTTTTTTTTTGGGTTTATTTCCTATGTTTTTTTTCCTCCCTTTTTTTAGGGATTACGTGCAGTAAACACAACATTTTGCCATTATTTTCATGGCATGTATGTCGATCTTCATCGAAAGATCAAATTCGTGATGCGAATGATAGAGCTTTACCAACCTTACTTGTTCTTCAAGGGCGTGTAAGTATATACAAATTCACTACCTATAAAATTGTATTAGTGGAATTTATAAATGTTTATAATCATCATTGTGCCTAATAATGAGCTTGTTTTTGCTTTTAGCTATGATGATACCAACACAGAAAAGCTACAAATGACAGTAAAAGAGAGCAGCGTTGAAACAAAAGTATTTTACTTTGATCCTAAAATCATTAATTGGGAAGACTACTTCATGAACATTCATATACCTGGCGTAGTAAAATCTATGCTAATGTGATGAAAGAATCACAAGATCTCAAAAATTTATGTTTCAGTGCTTCTGTCAGTGTGTTTTGTGTATTTTCAATAAATGTATGAATTTGTTGGCGTAGATACATTTTAAATTTGTCTTTAATACAAAAAATCCCTATTTATGTTTTTCTAGACATGCTACAATAAACACTTTTTCAGGTATATATCATTGGTAAGGTATAATTTAAATTTAACATTAGTAATGAACTATTAATAAGACCAATAAATTTTCATGTCAAATTTAATTACGACTTATTATAGTGCTTAGTGATACATTCATTAATTCATTCATTAAAAGGGGGTTTGACACATTTTCCTTTCACTATGTAAACAACCAAACTGTCATTCATTCATTAATCACCACCTATTGGATGATGAGACATTTCTTGATTTAATTTTCTTTTAAAATATTTCTCCATCACCTTTTTCTCTAGCTCCACTTAAAACTGTTACCTACATATATTAACATTCACCATTAAGTAAAAACACCTATAAAATAATGAATTAAACCATTAGGCTAGTACATCATAAAAATAAAATAAAAAGAAAAATAAAAAGCAAAAACAAAAACAAAAACAAAAACAAAAAGAAAGAAATAAATGTGTTCACTAAAAAAAAAAAAACCCATCAATAATGCATCAAGAAACAAAAAATAAATAAATAAATAAAAGAAAATAAATAGTTTGATTTAATTCCCATCAAGTCTTATTCAAAATAAGTCCTAATAAAACCATCGCTAAATAATTATTTTTTGCATGTCTCTAAAAATTAATAATTAGTGACTTTTAGTCACGATTTTTATAAATTGTTCCTAAAATTTACAAGTAATGATGTTTTTTTGTGACGAATTTTTGAAATTGTCGCTGTAAGTTAAAAATTAGTGACTTTTTTGTATGACGATTTTTTGAAACTGTCACTAAAACTTATAATTAGTGACAATTTTTGTGACAAAATTTTCAAAATTGTTGCTGAAAATTAACAATTAGTGATGCTTTTTAATGGTATTTAATGAAAAAACGCCATTAATTATCATAGGACCTATTGGACAATAAGTCCACCTATTAGGACTTACACATATGTCTTCTCCAAAAACATTTCAGGTCCTAATCAAGCAATTGCAAATACATTTCCTAGAAGTTAAGAAAATACTACAAATCAACACATAAAGAAGATATCAATCAAGAATAAAACCCAAAAAATGGGAAAAATCCTCATTCATCATCACAATCAAAAAGAGAAAAGAGATTTACAATTACAGATTGAAAGTTGAATCAAACTTATTGATGGCAGTCAATGATTTTCAATCTTCAATAGCTATTCTTCAATCGTATACTATTGATTTAGGCAATGTGGCGAAGAAATGGTGGGAGATTGAGAAGAAAAATAGAGAGTAGGAAAAATAAATAAATAAATAAA